TGCAAGTCTTCTTGACGGATATCGGTGAAAAAGCTTACACCGTCCTCCGGAGCCTGCTTCTGCCGAAGACGCCGAACAAGGTATCGTACCAGGAAGCTGTCAGCATCCTTCAAAAACACTACGCACCTAGACGTTCACTGGTCACAGAGCGCTTCCGTTTCAATCGACGAAACCAAGGGCCTCACGAGACCGTGACTGACTTCGCCGTCGAACTGAAGAAGCTCGCAGCGACATGTGAGTTCGGCGCTTTCCTCGAGAAAGCTCTACGCGACAGACTCATCGCGGGTCTGCACGCCGACACCATACGCTGTCGTCTTCTCGCAATGCCCGACACGGAACTCACCTGCGACCGTGCATGCAGCATAGCTACGGCCATGGAAGCGGCGGCTCAAGACACAAAGGAAATGCTGACGTCAAGCAACGCGGGACAATCTTCGAACGCCGCGGACGTCAACTGGCAACAAGCACCGGCACCTCCGCGTCAGACAGCGACGACGAACGCGCCGACCAAGTCAAGGGCGCACGGGAAAAAAGCAACGAAAGCTGTGGATCAAAGGACTAAAAAACCGTGTCACCGGTGTGGAGGACAACACTTACCTGTAAGTTGTCCTTTTCTTAACAGCGCTTGTTATAAGTGCTAAAAAGGGACATGTTGCAAAGATGTGTAAAACAAAAGTTGCGCACACGTAGCCGAGAGCGAGTGTGACAGCGAATTGCTCTCGTTGTGTCACACGAACCAGAGTTCGGGCACGCCTGCCATTGTAATTACAGTCTTGCTAAATGGTAAGGAAGTTCCGATGGAACTAGATACGGGTGCCGCAGGTGTCGGTAATGTCCGAAACGGAGTGCACGAAGCACCTTCCTCATGCAAGCTTTAGGAAAGCGGACGTCAAACTCGTGACATGCAATGGCACGCCTGTCGCGATAAAAGGAATTGTGGACGTGTAAGTTCGATACCATGATCAATGCTTTCAATTTCCACTGGTTATCGCAAAATAAACTGAAGGCGCAAGAATGCCTACGTTATTTGGCCGAGACTGGCTCAGCGAAATAAAAATCAGATGGCATGAAGTCGTGCAAGTGAAGGCCTTGACCGCAGAGACGATACCGTTGACTGAGAAGTATCGCCACGTGTTCGAGCCAGGGTACGGAGAGATAAAGGGTTTTAAGGCTAGCATTTGTATGAAAGAAAACTCCGACCCGGTGTTCTGTAAGGCGCGTCCAGTGCCATACGCTTTGCGCGAGCAGGTCGAGCAGGAATTGGCAAAATTAGAAAAGGCTGGAGTCGTGTACTGGGTAAGGCACAGTGAATGGGCTACGTCCCCTCGTCATCGTGCCAAAAAAGAACAGCAAAGAGCTTAGGATCTGCGGTGATTATCGAGTCACTGTTAACCCTTACATGGAAGTTGACCAGTACCCTTTGCCGCTGCCCGAGGACATTTTTGCCACCCTACGTGGTGGAACCGTGTTTTCGGTCCTTTACCTCTCGAAGGCGTATTTACAGCTCGAACGAGACGAGCGAGCACAAGAACTGCTTACGGTCAACACGCATTTGGACCTCTTTAGGTTCAAGCGCTTGCCATATGGCGTAGCGTGTGCGGCGGCACTTTTTCAAGCCGTCATGGATCAAGTCCTGCACGGTCTGCCGGGAACCGTCTGCTATTTAGATGACGTTGTCATCGCAGGAGAGACACGTAAACACTGTCATGACAGACTTGAGCAAGTGCTCATACGCCTGAGTCAGCACGGCATAGAGGTCAACGCTGAAAAATGCAAGCCATTTCAACAAAGAGTGAAGTATCTGGTGCACGAAATTGACAAAGATGGGTTGCACCCCACGGCAGAGAAAGTAGAAGCCGTAAAAAACGCGCCAAAACCGGCTAACGTGACTCAGCTGAAAGCTTTTTTTGGCTTGGTAAATTTCTATGCGAAATTTTTACCTAGTCTAGCTACAGTGCTAGAACCGCTGCATGATCTGCTGCGCAGGGAGACAAAATGGCACTGGTCACGCCAGTGTGAAAACGCGTCTAAAACTTGTAAAGAAATGCTGACTGATGAAAGTGTTCTCCAGCTGTATGACGTCACGAAAGATGTTCAGCTAACGTGTGACGCGTAAGAATATGGCCTTGGGGCTGTCTTGGCAGATATTGTGAACGGTGAAGAGAGGCCAATAGCATTTGCGTCGCGATCACTTTCAACATCTGAGCGTAATTACAGCCAGATAGAAAAAGAAGCCCTGAGCATTGTGTTCGGCATAAAGAAGTTTCATGTACGGGCGAACTTTTAACGTGGTGACAGATCACCAACCGCTGATGATATTGTTTGACCCTAAGAGACAGGGAAGCGCTGTTGCCACGGCAAGAGTGCACCGATGGCTAGCATTTTTGGCCGATTACCGTTACAAAGTAACACACAAACCCGGAACGTCTATCGGCCATGCTGATGCTTTGTCGCGACTGCCACTTGCAGACACTGAGGAACACGCGGGAGATATTTTTTTTTTATTTTTCTCCGGTCAGTGATTTGCCCCTCACTGCAAAAGACATCGAGCGCGAAACAGCCCGCGACGACCAGCTAAGGGTTGTTCGCAACATGATATGGTGTGGATGGCCTAAAAGTGCGCCTCACGAGCTGCAGCCATTTTGGACACGACGTTTGGAACTCTACATTGACGACGGTTGTATTATCTGGACAAACAGAATTGTCGTTCCAAAATCCCTGCAGAATGTTGTTCTAGGTTTACTGCATGAACAACATCTCGGAATAACAAAAATGAAAGCTGTGGCAAGGTCAATGGTCTGGTGGCCTGGTATAGACGAAACACTCGAGCAAACTGTATGGAAGTGTAAAATTTGTCAAAGTGTCCTGCCCGCAGCACAGCCTGCACCGTTGTCACCATGGAAGCTCTGTGAAAATCCATGGGAAAGAGTACACTTGGAGTTTGCCGAGAAAGAAGGAAAGACGTTTCTTGTGGCGATTGATACTTTCTCCAAGTGGTTGGAAGTCAAGATAATGCACTCGACGACCACATTCAATACAGTTGAAACTGTCCGTTCTTTGTTTGCATCGCATGGGTTGCCGATGGAAGTAGTGACTGATAACGGCCCGCAGTTCCGAGCCTCAGAATTTCTAGAACCTTTGAAAGCTAACGGTGTCAAGCACACGCTCACGCCGCCTTATCACCCGCAATCGAACGGGGCGGCAGAGCGTGCTGTACAAACAACAAAGAAAGCACTGCTGAAACAGTTGCTCGATGACAAAGAAAAAGGCAATACTAGGTCACTTCAACATAGCATTGACAATTTTGTGTTTTCATATCGCACAACGCACGCACACTGCAAACTCGGTTATCGTTGCTACGACCGAATATAAAAAGTGCAATGATCGAGGAAACTGAAAAAGTAAAAATGGGTGCCGATAAGCGTAGATCTAAGCCGAGATCTTTTGGGGTGGGCGACCGTGTACTTGTACGTTCTTTGGGGGTTGATATGGTCAAATGGTTTCCCGGTAAAGTGGTTAACGTGAAGTCGCCATCCACATACTTGGTTGTCGTCGGAAACAAAGTAAGGTTTGTGCACGCTGATCATTTGCGACGATCGTCCATTGAAAGTTCGGAGCAGCCGGAAGGCAGCCCCGAGTTAGACATGCCGCGTGCCGCAGACATAGTCGCTACACCTGGTGCAAGTAACCACAGCGGTGATCTGCCTGCACAGCCTGCACGTCACCCAAGTGGGATGCCTACCAGTAAGGAACCTCCTTGTGTCATACGAAGGAGCACGAAAGACAGGCGACCTCCTGATCGCTTCCGGTTTGATAATTTTCAATAGGAGTGTTTTCAATAATAGTTGGGGAGGGAGTGTCGTATCTGCGTGTTTATGATAACAGCATGCCATGAAGGATGCACTTTTATGTGGGACGTCAGAGTGCTGTGCGCCTGCGTCCGGTGTATCTTATCTGTATATATTGAGCCCTGATTTGATGTGCCACGAGTTGTTGGTCCCGAGGATGCCTGTGTTGCACCTCGCAATAAAGTGCTCTGCCAGACTTGCATCCCGGCTCCTAAATGTAACGCACACGATATAAGACCTGACTCTACCAGTCCTGTTTGACGTTCACGTTCATTGTTTATTTGTTCATTTATATTTTACCTAACTGAATAGATGCGGGAGAGCGGCACACTCTTGCGAGGACACGTCTGTATTAGAGACGTGTCCTCGACTGTTCATTTTTCTTCTACTTTGAAACATTCCTCATTAGAGACGTGTCCTCGACTGTTCATTTTTCTTCTACTTTGAAACTTTCCTCTTTTCCTGCCTCAGTCTCGGGCTAAGAACAAAATGGTTAACATCCACCAGCTCGCCTGCGCAATCACTACATTATCTTAAAACTGAGTTCCTTAAAACTTCTTACAACCATAGGACACACTGGCGCCATCTATTGGGTAGTAGTGCAAACTTGGCGGTCCGTCATATTTCCTATTTCTCTCGCGCATTATCCTTTCTTTCTTGGCTCGAAAAACTTTTTTCAACGTTATAAACGAGCCTTCCTTATAGGTATTACGCACATTTGACCTCGGAAATTCCGCAAAACATTTGCTCTTGTGAAATGCAGTTCAAGGCCACCGCATAGAATGCGCCAGAATGCCAGTGTGTTCCCTCGTCTTAAGAAGTTTTTAAGAAGTTTTAACAGACCTCGTCTCTCTCGGTCGTACTCGGTTGCGAGAGTGCGAACAGGCCTTTAGTGTTACTACGTTATGGATCACGTGCACGCACTTATGTTTAGAAGAAATTTCCACGTGAATCCGCTGGATGAGTGGGAGTAGACATTTTTATTCATCTACAATAAAGATATCTACTTACTTCAACGTTCTAGAATTGCATAAAAGGAAGCATAATGCCCATTAAATAGATGGAATGTGCAAACGTATGTAATATCGAGAGTGCCAAGGAGACCATGTGCAAAAATAAAGCGTATTAAAATCACTTTAAGTTTTGACTGCTTTACAGTTCTCGGGTGAGTTTCATGTTGCACTGAAAAGGACAAACTTGACGCAAGAGAATCTTTGCATTCATGCATTTGAAGTCGACATCATATATCTTGTACGCTTGAGTATTGTTTTTGCTGGTGACATCTGGAACACAACATAGTGAAACAATTGTGGTTAATGCGGGTATAACCTTGGATAATTCTTGAAGCATTGGCTCGAAAGTATTCTATACTTTACCACTTTATGACTTTACACTCCTCTGGGAGGAAGGTGACCCCTTAGCACTAACTCGGGAAATTTAGGCTTCTCTTTATTTTTTTTTATTTTTTTTTATTGGAGCACAGAAGGTATTGTAACTTCGCATTGGTTGCGACGTGTCATGTGGTTCCTAAGCAACGGCGTCATTGTTGCCGAGGGGCCAGCCGAACTGCTGGCGGCGCGGCGGGACGGGGAGACGCGGGTATGCGCTGCTCTGACGTTAGGCCCAAAGGATGGAACGCATGAGTGGTGAAAGTGGGCGCCGCGCGGCTCTCGCCGCTCGCCGCGCACCACAGGCGCACCGTGCGGCTTTATCTGTATCGATCAGATCCGAGCCACGCCGCCGCGCGGAAGTGACGTAGGGACGCCAGCACCGGTTGCCGTGACACTGCCGCGCGTCACCCATTTTCATCGCTCAGGTGTCCCCTGCTTAACCTTAGGTCTATCGTTACGCTCTGAAGTCTAACGTCGTCAACCGGTACGCGCAGCTGCTTGACGTTTTGGGCAGGGGCGCGGGTATAGTTATATTAATTATATACGGACGCAGGGACGCCTGACGTTTGGCCTAACGTTAGGCCTAACGTTACGCTTTAAAGTTTAACGTCCTCGAACGATAAACGCAGCTAGGGCAACGATGATGATGAGAGGACATGTGATTACAGCACGCGCTGCGCCGAGCTTCGTACTCCCGGCGCCGCGCCGAGCTTCAGCTAATTCCCCTACTGCCTCACCCAGTGTAACCAGCGAGCCAGGGATGCTTTCGCATTTAAAACTCAGAGAGGCTTAGATGCCCTCGGTATTTTTTTTTTTCATCTTTGGATAATCGAATTAGCGAACTATCTACTGCGGTTGTAGTCGTGACGAACTTTTAAGGTGATTGTCACTGGTTGTTTCTTTACTAATTGTTGCTAGTATAGGTGCCTGGCAAGACAATCTGTATTTTTTTGGCCCACTAGCAGGCTCGGTTTGCAGGCTTAGTCAGGTTTGGTGTGTGCCGTTAGCCCGCTGTTCAGTGTGTTAATTTGTTTTGTCATAGCGGTGATTCGACTTATCATTAGTATAACTATAGTTTTATCAGCCATAAGGACGTCGCTTATAATACTACTAATTGCACTTGACTTTGCCATAGCATCTGTCTACCGGATCATCCGATTTCTTGCTGATGGGATTGTGATCATTTTCTCAATGTCCCAAATCTTTCGTGGCACAGCTTTATAGCCTTTTTTAACTGCGCATAAAAGGTCTCCAGACCGAATTTATTTAAAGAGTCGGCGAAGCAGCTCATGACCTCCGGTCTGCGCCTGGCCAGCGGCGTGCGCTCGTTCGTGAACTATTTAAAAGAGTTCATTCCCAGGGCCTTCATATTTACCATAAAAAGGTGTAATGTATTAACTTTAAAAAGAGTATATTCTAACGAATAAAGGTTAGTTTACGTCTGCACGCAAAACACCATAATGAAGGAAAACACTTCGCGCTGGCCAGACGCGCTGGTCTCGACGAGCATCGACCACCATCGAAGCGGCTGGTCTCGACCAGCTTCTTCTAACCGTCCGTCGCGCGGCCTGCCAGCAGCTGTCTTTTTTCGGCGCAACGTTGCTCGGTACAATATGTTCATCGCAAGAGAAAATTGGTCGCCGCGCTCTGACTTGTTCGTTCAAACCAGTGGTCGTGCATGAGGTCTATAGATTATTCGCAAAAAAAAAAAAAACACAGTCAATACAATCGAGATTATATGTAACATATAATTAAACAAATATTACACAGTTAAATCACTTTGAAAAAGTGTAATCGTTGTTTAAGCTTGTATTCTCGGCCAAGCGTTGTCAGATAATACAATCGAAAGTAACGCAAAAGTACCAGTCTTTTCGGTTTTTTTTAGAAGTAACGGTAACGGCACTGTGTTGAATTTGCAGTGAATTAACGAATATCAGTAATGCGTTAAGTTTCGACGACTAAGAAGTAGCGCTATTTCGTTACTTATTTTTGGTAACAGGCACAAAACTGAGTTTCTGCCATGACCTACATTTAAATACTCAGAAGTAGGGGCTGTTTTACTTACACTCGTTTTCCCATATATAACTCCACAAAAACTACAATTCGACGTTGAGTCCCCGGATATCGAACCGACGATACCGACTTTCACGAGCGGCTTGATAGTCTAATGATACAACCTATTAGCTAATGTATTCATTAAAGACTAGTGAAAAACACTGATGGTTTTGTTTGCCCTGCTACAAAATAATTGTCCTTTTTTTATTTGTGATACGTACGTTAGTGATTTAGTAAGTATTACTACAGAGCTATCAAGGCGCTCATAAAGTTGGTATCGTGAGTTCGACGTCCGTGGTCTAAACGTTGAAATGCAGAATTGGGGTGTTATAAATGGGACATGGGGCGGTAAGTACTGAGCCTCCTATTTCTAAGATTGTATGTCTACGAATGTTTGCACCAAGGATGCGGGAATCGTGCATGAAACAGATCCTATTGCCGCAGAATGTAATCGGCAATTTACGTAGATGTAAATAGAACATCACGCCCTGCATTAATCTAAACCAGCAGTAAAGAGTCGTTTCCGTTTTTTCGTGAAAATTATTTAAATCTCGAGTAGCACGTCAGAGTAACGCGTCGAACTCGCCACTAGCTTGGCAATCCTATAGGTGACTAGCTTGAACCTAATATGGTTTTGCTCCAATGCGTTACTACTCGAGAAACTTTCTTTTACGTTTTTTTCTTTTTTTTTTTTGGGGGGGGGGGGGGGGTTTCTCTGGCTCGCCACATAATCCCAAATCTTCCAGACTTGAATAAAATATGCCACATATGAACCGCAAAATCAGCAGTGAAGCATTAATCTGGCACTAGCTCGTGAATTTAACCCAAAGTTGCCACATGAAAATCGAAAAATCAGACGTGAATTCCAACAATGGCAATACTTTTCGCGATTTAGGCTCAAAGATACGAGATGACAGGCGAAGTACAAGCAGGGATGCCTAACTTTGAAGCTTGTTAGTTTAATTAGGGCCAAGATACCAAGAGCCGGGTCAAAAAAGGTAAAAGTGTGTTTCTACTTTGGCTTCTTCCGGCATTTCAAGCCACAGGTAGCCGGACAGAAACCAAATTTTCACCCGATGGGCTGTGCTACGTAACCTTGCATTGAGGGTCTATAACGATGATCTATTTTCCCATAGTAATATGTACTTTTTTGTGCTGGGACACTGAGGAGCCGCTCCAGTTTCTGAACCCCACTTGAAAATTATTTTATTTAATTTTCAAAGTGTGTACTGGTAGCATTATACATACTCATCCCTTCACATGAAGCACTTCCCTTTGACTTCATAAGACCGTAGACTTAGTCACTGGCTTAATTTTCCTGGACTCGAAAAGCAAAACAAAATCGGCATTGACTTACCAATTTTTATGTAAAGTGACTCTCCTTTGAATGATCTTAGAAGCGTAAAATCCTCTGTCGCAGCTGGATTGCAAAATCATAAATGAACGAGGGTTAGAACCGAATTTTATTGTCGTGATCGTTATTTTGTTTAGGCGTTTAAACGGCTATATATTTTATATATGCAATTGTTTAGACTAAACTTTTTGAGGAGATTAGTCTATATCAGTAGTCGATACATTTTACTAAAATTAAAACATAGCGAAGCGTGTCTTGCAGTTTTATTTAAAAGTTATGTGCTCATGTTGAATTGTAAAAATAATGGGTGAGCCAATCTGACATGGTTTAGAACATTTGAGAAAGAATATATGAAATTAAAATTTTATTTTTTTGAATTGTGCATTTTCTTGTGATAAAATATTTTCTTGCGAGAAGAAAAGTCCGTATGCAAGGATTGTGTGTGCTGCCGAAGTTGGATTTTTCACACCTTTCATGCATATTAGCAGCTGTTCTACATAATAATTTGTCATGTATCACTACTGCTCAAACGTAAGTTTTCCCAGGGAGCATAATATGATTATAATTGATTACCAGAAAAGATAGTCATTTTCAACATTAAAAAACATTGATTTATATTTGCATCAAATTAATAAGTTCATTTCGCGTCATCCAGAGAGTTTTACTGTGCGTGTATTAAGCGAGGGAACGTGCGTTATAAAACACTATGATTCAATATACCGTAATATCTTGAGAGAAACCCCCGAAAGATATCCCACCCATATTTTTCGTAAGATTTGCTATTCTTTCAAAATCACCGAAAGATAGCCCACATCTATCGGGTGATGTCCAGCCGTGACCACGGCAAAATTGGTGTTACTAAGCCACCGCGAGATATAAGCGAGCATTGCTAACTGGAAAAAAGAGTTTTCTATGATACATTACCCCTCATTGTGAAAACTAGTTTTGCAGGTCCCAAACAATTAAGTAGCATGTTTTTTTTTTTGTTTTTTTTTTATCGTATACCAAAAGTTAGCCCACTCCTCATTTTCACCCAATTTTCTCTCGCTTTTAGGTGGGAAATTTCTCGGGATATTTCGGTACGTAGATTATAATTTTGTCTTTGGTGCATACCTGCGTCGATATATGATGAATCTTTCATACAGGTACTCATCTTTTATATCCGAGATTTGGGGATTTTAAACCCTTTAACATATTAAGGTGTGTACCATGCACATGATGAGCAACAATAATTAAACAGCATAAACTATTATATTTTCTGAATAAGTAAGCAGTTCTACACTCAAAAAAAATATGTGCGTCTACTTTCACGCACAACCCACTCGGAAAACCAATCAACGCAATTTACGGAGGCAGCTCAGTGAATGACGATGCAGAAACGTATGTTTCTGCATCGTCTCTCAGACTGCGTTTTTTGGTCTAAACATATGTTTCGGCATCGTCATTCGCTGAGCTGCCTCCGTAAGTTGCGCTGATTGGCTCTCCGAGTGTTGTGCGTGAAAGTAGACGCACAGACTTTTTTTAGAGTGGAATGCACACTCACTATTAATTTTATTTATATTTTAATGCGCCCTAAATGCTAAACTCATGTACATATAAACAGCAACCTGAAGCTTACTTCCCCAGTCCTGAAATAGTGAATCACATTTGCATTTTAAATATACAGCAAGACCCAAGTATACAAACATGTATACACAAGGATGCCATGTATTTTAACAATTAAAAATACATGTCCACGATTTACAAACGTTATCCTTCAGTTCTTTTAAATAACCGACTAAAAATCTAACACAATTTCTAGCACAAATCTCAGTGAACAGAGAAAACCACGGACAGATGTTTTCGGAAGAAGCTAATCTTTTTTTATGTATTTTGCGCAACGACAAGTGGTATATACACGAAGAGCGACCGAAGTATTAAGGGCCTTGGCCTTTAAAAAGTGTAACAATAGATTTTTTAATTTCTGCCCATTTCGTGACTAAATCATTTGAGTGCTTCGCTTTAATGCCGTAGGGACTGTATGTTGGTAAGGATTTATAAGTTTTAAGCCTTTGGTATTGGATCAGCAGATCTATTTTAAAGTTGCTTCGGCTGAGTCTTGCATATTAGTTTGTGTAATACATACATAGTAGTCGGGACGTTTTTTAATCTTAATAATGGTTACGTTTTACAATACAACAATCGTCAAAAATGTGAGACTACTCGTGTCTATGCGTTGGAGAAAAGTTCTGCTTAAGCACAGTTGTTGCTCTTCTTATTTGTAAATTGCATTAAACTTTGACGTGAGCGATTGGGCAAACTCATTGTTGAATCTATGTGCATAGATCAAGTAATGTGGCATGTATTTACAGCTTATACTTCTCTCTTACGGAAATTATTTTGTTTGTGCAAAAACAAGCATAAAATAAAGGTTAGTTTATCAAGATGATTATGTAGATTAGCGATAAAATAGGAGCCCATCATTCCCCCTCGACCCTCGGATATGCTATCCTCATACGCCTCAAATAAATTTGAAAAAGACGATCAGAGGAAAGTAATATATAATATAGCAATTCACCTTACTTTCACAATAGATGTTCCAAGTGATAAAATGTCGCTACTTCTCCAGTTCTATTGTGTGAATGTTTTACTCACTTGAAGTGGTGAGGACACCGACACCTCTAGCAGCATCGTAATATGTCTGGAAGTCGCCCCTACAAATCAGAAACGAGCTCTTAAGCAAACTACGTAAGATATACCATAACATATAATCAGTTAGAACCTAAACACTTTACGATAATTTAGGTTCTAGATGAGGAGAGTCAGGCAATGTGATATAAAGTTCAGAAAACGATCTGTAGTTCCTACTACTATATTGAGATGGTCCTGATGTGTGTTGAACACTCCTCCAAATCTCTCACAGAATAGTGAAATATGTGACTGATCACGCCGTACATATAGAGTAATCGCACACTTATGATGTGGTGCTGCGAGTAGAATATAAATATATATATAAAGGTGTTTATACTTCAGCAAATATCGCCAGTCTTCATCAAAAGTAATACCTGCTATTGGGTTAATACCGCCATGTCTAGCGCTATATTAGACCAGTAGCAAGCATGAGCTGACAGAGAAACATTAAGTAATATCGTGGGGGTAGTTATATTCTTTTAACGTATTAGCTCACTCTTCCTATTGGGCGCGGCTGAATCATGTAATGCCTTACAATTCATTTTCTACCTCAATATTATCAGAAGAAATATTTTATGCGCTTCAATTGATTTAATTCATTTACTTTATTTTTAGTGCCACACAAACAGCAGTTCATTAAAGCACTACGTCAAAATAATAAGCATTCACATCACAAGAACAAATGTTGACAGGTCAAAACGAAAGGAAGATGTCAATACCCTTTCTGTGTGTTCGTATTCAAAATTTTGATATAAAAGGTAATTAGCTTTGATCCCAATTTGTTAAAAACCGGTGGAAGACCGATAACGGGATCGAAGTTTTGTCAAACTGGAGTATAAGACAATAAAAGTGCCTGACTAGGCCTTTGAGGAACAGGTAAGTAAACACAGTTCAGTAGCGCGTTGCCATCAACGACGCCACTCACAACCTTATGCGTAAACGTAAAGTCACGCATCATCTGCCTATTATACAAAAATTGTGAGCCAATCAGTTTACATATCTCTCATAGTCAGAAAACACGAATTGTAAGTAACAATTCTAAATGAAATATTCGTTTAGTAAACACATTTAATGATAAAAGACATGACAGACGTGACAGAAAACATTTGTTCTCCGTCACATCGGTCCTGTCCAGGACTTTTGAGTGGCTGCTAAATTGCACACTTTTAGAGTACTTGACTGGCAGCAACACGCTCTCCTCATCGCATCACGGATTTAGGCCTGAAATAGGTTGCGAGACTATACCTTGGCCACCATCACGCACAACATAAGTGAGGCGCTGGATGACCGCCCTTCCGCGGACCTCATACAACTCGACTACAGCGATGCGGTCGACAGACTGGACCATCACCTTCTGCAGAACCTTGCCGGTCTAACTTACGTGGCCCCTTGCTTTGCTGGAAAGCTCATTTCCTTATCAATCGCTCTTTCATGGTATTGTTTTATGGGCTTTCGTGGCGGACTTTGTAATTTCCACGGGTGTACCACAAGGCTCTGTATTGGGAGCCGCCCTCTCCTTAGTGTATGTGGACGACATACCGAAGATAAAGGACGTCATATTTATCCAATACGCGGACTTCACAACCATTTTGACCCGCTTGGGTCATCTTTCTTCTAGCTCCCACCTTCAAGGCAATCACTCACTGCATGATTGCATACTGGTCCACTTCCAACCATCCACGACTAAGCTACACCAAAAGCGCGCTTCAGCTGAAAAAAAAAAAAAGGGGTGGACCCGCCGTGCTATTCCTTTTTTTGCCACATCTGTGTCGGTGGCCACGTGTCTTTAAATTCTGGGGGCCACCCTCGCGCCCACTTGGGAGTTTGTCCTGCTCATCTCCAGCATCGTGGCGAAGGCAGTCAAACCGTTGGGTTTGTCACAAGGCTATTGCCCTTATTTGGTCCGGAGACGTTTCGTACTCTGTATACTGCTCTCTTGTCCTCCCACGCCTAGAATACTGTGCGTTCATTTTGAGCTGCCACCAAGAACACCGTTCTCAGCGTCTGGAGGGAGCCAAGCGTCGCGCAACGCGGACTCTTCTGTCACGTGTGCACCAGCCGCGTGCTCCCCCCCTCCCTATCTTACGAGGACCGACTGAGACGCCTTCGTTGGCTGTCACTGGGCCACCGGAGCGTTGTTACGCGCGTGAGACTTCTGTGCCACCTCCTGTATGGTTCGCTGCGGAACACTTACTTAAACTATCCTTTGCATCAGCAAGCACTCCCGACGACCCGAGCAACAGCGGGCGCGCACACACCGCCACCGCCGCTCGTTTTTCTCAGATGCGATTCAGGCCTTTCTTTCAGCGCCCTAAGATGTACCATCCTCCGGTCCGGAAGACCGGGTGGACACCGCTGTTCTGTGTCGGGCGTGTTCGCGAGCAACTAGACTTAGCTAAATAGAAATTTATAACCTTACTCGATGTACGACACTACCTGCAGATTATAATATTCAAGGAGTGTCGCCGCAGTCGGTTTCAGAGTACCAGTACCTTGATTACATATCACGTCTGATCTAACATGGGACTCTCACAGTTATAACGTAATGTAACGCAACTTAAAGGGTATTTCTCATTGGCACCAAAATGAATAAAAGAAATACTGTACAAAACACTAATACGATCCAAACTGGAGTATGTTTCGTCTATTTGGGATCCTGGTTCATGCGCTAATAGCACCACTCGAAATTATACAAAACAGATCGCTACGCCTCATCCCCTTCAACTATTACGGAACGTAGCGTATTTCCTTAACGAAGATTAATCTTTCAGTCCCACAGCCATCAGTCCACCGAAAAATCACTCGGTTAAGCTTATCTTACTTTTTTTTTTCATACTAACCCTATTCTGGGTTTGTGTGAGACCCAAAATAGTTTTTCATACTAACCCTAATCTGGGTTTCATCACGAGCAGATCATCAGCATAAAGTTGGTGTCCCTCATACTAATAGAAGTGTTTTTTTTTTAAATTTTATTTCTTTGTACCACAAGCATTGCGCGAATCGAAACACCTCTCGGCGTCTATCGTCTCAATGACTGACAGTGCTCTTTTTTCATAAGGCAGTAATTATCTTCTTTACCTGATTTTGTTCAGCTTCCTGTTATGGCGCACCGTGCATTCACGAGGGCGCCTATCAAGCCAGTCTGCCAATCTTGGCCGCCAGGCAGCTACGTAGTTGCCTCGCCTCAGACACGATCACATGGTCGTGTCACCGCGGGGTCGATCGGGATCCCGAATTCGGCTCCCGACGTGCCGCTTTCTCCCCTAGCGACTGGAGGGCGCTGCAGGCACCCCCGTGGCGCCTGCAGCGCCCTCGAGCGGCGGTTGCGGTGAGCGGACGTGTTTCTTGGTTCTCCTCGATCACCTAAAGCTAAGTACCAGTTTTTCTTCTTTTCTCTCTCTTTTTTGAGAGTTGATTGGAAGTGACTATACGGTAGGAGTATTAGGTTTGAACAGCAGCAGTTGAAGTTAGTTTTGCAAAGCAGGCTCTGTTTGAATTTTTGCCGGGAAGGGACGGTTGGTTCCCGGTCTAGACATGGGTCTAGATTTTTGTCGGCAGGACAAGGGTGGGGACGGGTTGGTGCAGTGCGAGGGGTGTGGGAGGTGGTGTTACCTAGAGGAGACGGGTTTCGGGAGTCTGGAGGAGGCGGCGGGTATGAGTTTCGAGTGTCGGCTTTGTGTAAAGCTTCAGCAGGTAACTTTGGAATGGGAGGGTAGAGTTCGGGAGATTGAGACCCAGCTTAAGGCAGAAGGAGAGAAGCGGGTGGGTCTCGAGGCCCAGGTTGACGAGTTGACTAGGCAGCTTAATTATGAGAGGGAGCAGCGGGTGGGCCTCGAAAAGCAGGCGGAAGAGCTGAGGAAAGTATGGAAGGCGGGTTTAGAGGAGCGCATGAGGGATTGTAACAGTAGGGTAGACCGCCTGGAAGGGGTAATTCGAGCGAGTGAGAGTAGCGAGGGAAGAAAGGAGGAAGTGTCAGTTCTAGCGGGACGAATCGCCAGTGTGCAGACTGGGGTCACAGGTGGTCGGGAGTCCAGCCTGTTGGCTGGCGGGCTCGACGACGCTGGAAAGCTGAGTGACACTCAGCTCAATGGCGCCTTCGAGCAGCAGGCGTCGGGCAGTCAGGTGACAGGAAATAAGTCGCAGGACAAGGGCGCGCAGGTACCAGAGGATCTAGGGTACTGGTAGTGGGGAGCTCTAACGTAGCACGGGTTAAGAGGGGTGTACATAACAGGGTAAAGGGAGACCAGGGGGTAACTGCAGCACGTGAGGGGATGTCGGATAACCGGTAGGGAAGAAGGAACCTAGTAATAGTTCATGCGGGTCTTAATGATGTGCTCAAGGGTAGGAGCCAGAACCTCGGAAAGCAGCTAAACGTGGGAATACGTAAGCTGAGGGACGTGTCTCAGAATGTGCACGTGGTTGTGTGCATCATTCCAGAAGTTCGGGGGCAGTCTGGGGTAACGGAGAGGAGCGTTGTCGAAGCCAACAGAGTAATTAAGGGTATGAGTCGACAGCTTCGGTACGACGTAATGGAAGTAAACAGGGACGTGTACGGGGCTGGCTCCCGCCCTTTTGCAGATGGCATTCACTACAGTGAGGCCACGGGTTACAGGGTGGGGGATAGGATGGGCGGCACGGTGACTGCTTTTCTAGAGGAACCGAGGGCCCTGGGGGCACTCAAGTAACTGAAGACCAAACAAAGTCAGGAGAGGCACCCAGGGTTAAAAAGAGGAGAAAACGTATGAATAGGTATAAACAAACAGCACAATCAGTCATTGGATATATTAACATGCAGAGTGGTACAAATAGGTTAAAATGAGTAGAGGTAGAGGAGCAACTAAGAAAGGAGGATTTAATGGTGTATGGGTTTCTGGAAACACATCTCAGAGACATGGAGCAGCCACCTTGCAACCCTGACTATGTGTGGGAAGAATGCAACAGAATGGAGGGAACGAGGAAGGGAGGTGGAGTTGGAGCATTTATTAAGAAGAATATGAACTTTCAAAGGATCAGAAAGGAGTGC